AAAAAAAAAATAAGCCAAACCAGCTCAGACACCACCAAAAACTCCTCATTTCACTAATAATTCCAAGTGGAGAGGTAGTCCACAATCTTGCCCTGATGGATAGCTGCTCCCCTCTTGAAAATTGTAAAAGTCTTTTTGGATAAGAACTTCCTAGGTTGCACCAGCTACAAGGAAAAATTCTTGCGGATATGGAAGGCACCCACAAACCTTGCAGGGTGTTTTAAGGGGTGCGGCCTGAGAATGCTTACATATTTGCCAAAAAAAACAACAACCCCAAAACAACCCTATATGTCTCCTCCTAAAACCCTAACCAACCACCTTTTGGTACAGATCTTGATTTCTGTATAAATAACCCAGTTGGGGGAACCCCGTGCCAATTTCCGACGGTGTCTGCCACAACCATTTTTTTTTTCCTTTTGGCCAAATTTATTTTTGCATCCCTGAATTTTCAGAAGGAAAGGTTTGGGTTTGGCTCTCCTGAATAGAAGCAGCGATGAAGTGTGTGCCCTTACACAGGAATGTGTTCATGCATTCACATAGCAGGAGGAGAGTTGAGTCTGAAAATATATGCCCTCGACTTACAACAGTTCATTTAGTGACCCATTCAAAGTTGCATTCTGGACCAGCCTTTTCTAAGGTGACAATCAAGCACGTCCTCATATCCAGATCTTCCCATCTGGCAAATGGCAAATAAGCAGGATGGAGCCGTCATTTCCATATCCATTCAGGTAGTCCTTGACTTACAGGCTGTTCGGAGCTACAACTGCACTGAAAAACGTGACCTTATGACCGTGGTTCACACTTAACGGCTGTTGCGGCATCCGCACAGTTGTGTGATCGAAATTCAGGCAATTCTGACTCGTATTTATGACCATTGCATTGTCCCGGGGGTCGTGGGATCCCCTTTTGTAACCTTCGGACAAGCCAACTCAACTGAGAAGTCGGATTTGCTGGTCAAAAGTGTTCCTAACTTAACAACGGAGGTGATTTACTGAACGACAGCGGAAAGAAGGTGTCGGTATGTGCTCCTTTCAAAATCCAAGAAAGAAATACTCAGACTCCATGGTTCAGAGCAAAGTTCTTCTTTTACTGGAAGATGAAAAGGAAGCTACAAATGGAATTCGTAAAAACGGGGCAAAGCTTATTTAACAACTGTCTCGCTTAGCCAGGGAATTTGAGGGCTCCGTTGTGGTTGTAAGTTGAGGACTACCTGTAGATATGATTTCAACTTCCATTTCCCCAATGGGATACGGCTGGATTATATACAGCAAGGGGTCCCCAAAACTTGGCCACTTTTAAGACTTGTGGACTTCAACTCCCAGAATTCCCCAGCCAGCCATGTCTGTTTCTTTCTTCTCTTAACCTCCTAAAGTGGAAAGAGATTGCGGAGGAAGGGATTACAAGAGAGTAAACTATGCTGGCTGGGGAGAATTCTGGGAGTTGAAGTCCACAAGTCTTAAAGTGGCCAAGTTTGGAGACCTCGGATATACAGGGACACAACTTATACCCATTCTGGGGAATAAAATAGGACATTTTGAATTTTCTAACATGGCAACCGTCATCATACCGGCAAAAAATTTTCTTTTTCCCCCCCACTTTTTTTTAAAGGTCCAAACTGGGGTTTTGGAGAGCCCTCCTAAATTCCTTCCTCCAGAGCCTTGGAGTTTCTTTTTAAAAAAAAAAAAAAAAACCTCACCCTCCCACCAAGTTTCTCCCCCTTTTTCGGACAGACACACACAGTTCTTGGCTAATTCACTTCACACACTCTACCTTTCTAGCACAACTAGGCGTAGAGATAACATTATTAAATCGTGACACGTACTTTTATAAGTGGAAAGCATTCCAGCACAAGCCGTAGCAGAGACATCACGCACACAACAAAAGAAAACACTACAATTTTTCTCCCCAGCATCCGTTTCAGGAATCAAGCCAACCACGTGGGTTACCCATATATCGTACAACTGCTCCCCCTCCCCACCAGCCCACCCCCCCCATCCCAGCTGCTCGCCCCCCCACACCCCTTAAATAATGTCTCCTAGCCTGGCATTCTAGCAAAACAGTTATTTTTGCTTATTTCTCCAGTGTCCCTATCGGATATTTCTACTTACTTTTCGTACATGGTTTGTTTCTTTGTTTTTTAAAATAATCTAGAAATAATCCTTATAATTAGTCGAGGGTCTTTTCTTAAATATCTCCCCCTCCTCTTGGAAATAATATCTCTGGACTTCAACTCCCAGAATTCCCCAGCCAGCCATGTCTGTTTCTTTTTTTCTCTTAAACTCCTAAAGTGGAGAGAGATTGCAGAGGAAGGGATTACAAGAGAACAATCTACACTGGCTGGAGAATTTCCTTCCTTCCTTCCTTCCTTGCCTCCTTCCTTCCTTCCTACCTTCCTTCCTTTCCTTCCTTCCTTCCTTCCTTCCTTCCTTCCTTGCCTCCTTCCTTCCTTCCTTCTCAATCTTCTTTTCCTCTGATGGGTATAGATGCCAAATCGAATTGGCGATTTGGGGCCAAGGAATAACGACAGCAGTCATGGCTGTTTTATTCTGCCAAGGAACCATTTCAATCTTTTTTAAAACAAAAGAACCAGAAAAACGTGGCAGTGGATGGGAAAATGCTTTCTCTGTACTTTTTGCGTTTATCTTCTTGTTAATCCGAAATGGGCAAACTGCCCTCGTATTTTAAAAAGTCTTATTTTTTTTCTCTCCCGTTTCAAGTAAGCCAGGCTTTATACGTCTTTTCTCCTCTCCCAAAGAGATTCAAGAAATCTTTGTGTGTTAAATTGATGATGCAGAGATAACTGTTAATAGATTATCACGCATAGATGCAAATAATAAGGGAGGAGGAAAAAAATCAGGACATTTTTAACAGTCGTTGCCCTGTCAGGATGGGTGGCTTTGAAAAACCCTGTAGTTCTTTCCCCTCTTGCGATATTTAGTTTTTAGAGCAGGTAAGAATTTTTCTATAGGCAATCTGTGGGACTCCCTGCCACATCTGGACTTCAGAAATCAGGCCGTGAGCAAAATGGGCGCCGGGGAGATTTTACTGACCTGGCAAAAACGGCAACCCGATGGGTGCCACTATACTCATTCTAGGCTAGCTTGCAAGAAGGGAGAGTTAGAAGGCTTAAGGCCAGCTTTCCGTTTGATTTGTTTTTTAATAAAAGTCTCTGTCCAATGCCGAGAGCGGAGAATTTGATGGAAAATCAATATTTCCTCAGATCTGATGTCCTTCTTTTTGCAAAAATACTAATAATGTTGAATTGGGAAAATGGATCAACCAGGGCAACTAAAAGGAACCTTTTGATGGATCTATCCGCCTCCAGGCCTACGCATAAGAACCAAAAAAAAAAAGGAATAACACAATTGCAGAGTTGGAAGGGACCTTTGAGGTCATATAGTCCAACCCCCTCCCGCTCAAGCAGGAACCCCTCTAGCGATTTCAGATGAAGGATTGTCCAAACTCTTCTTAAAAGCTTTTGTGATGCGGATCTCAGCATATCTGGAGAGTACCGGAGACTTCCATCTGCTCTCACAAAATTGACCCAGCATTTAAATTTTTTAAAAAAATATTAAGGTTATACGGGGTCAGGCGAGTGTGACGGGCAGAGAAGTATTTGCACAAGCCAGCATGTAACAACGCAGATCAAGGCTGAAAACCATTTGTTCAATCCATAGCAAGAACTGAGGGTCTGGTTTCTTTCAAACCATTAGGGAACGAAATCAATCAATAAATCGTGGGCTGGCTCACCAGATGTTTAGAAATGCCAGTCACTCTTCTAGTTTTATCGATGGATTTGCTTTGATTCATCGAGTTTGCAATTTTCTGACTGCAGGTCATCCTCAACTTCGTTTAGCGGCTGTTCAAAGTTGCAATGGCACCGGAAAAAAAGGTCACTTATTGTGACCGTATTTTTCACACTTACAACCGTTGCAGAGTCCAAATTCGACGTTTGACCACTGATTCCTATTTATGACGATTGTAAGTGTCCCCGGGGTGTCAGGCGGTCCCCTTTTGCGACTGTTGGACAAGCCAAATCAACAAGGGGAGCCTGTTTCACTTAACAACCACAGGACTGGCTTAACAACTGCAATGGTTCGCTTCACACAACCGTGGCCAGACAGGTTGTAAAATGGGAACAAAATTCAGTCAACGAACGTGTCACTCAGGAACTGAGATTTTGGAGCTCCCGTGTGCTCGTACGTTGAGGACTGTCTCTATTTTCTAATTTGTGTTGTAGGTGTTATATTGTCAGGCATAAAGTCTGCCCCAGACCATTTCAAGTAATAATAATAATAACAATTGCTTAGGATTGTCTTTCAGCACATCTGCAGAGTGAAGCTTTTAAGAGAGCTGGAAATAAAAGTTTAAGACCCTGTTTGGTTTCCTTTTGAAAAAAACAAAAAAAATTTGCCTCTGACCCCCATCAGCTTCGTGAATTTTCGAAGCCAAGATGCTACCCGCGTTTCCCAATTTTTTAAGATGAAGAACTCTGCAGCTCTGCTCCCATCTTTCTGCTGAAATCCTGGTGCACATTTACAGAAGTGCGCTATCCTTCTTTGCACACTAAAGGAGATTATTTAATCTCCTTAAAAAACCCAACAGGGAATGAGCTTCTAATACAGTCAAGAGGATAAGCTTTGATTAGAAGACTCTAAATTAATTTTGTGGCAAGGAAGGAAGGAAGGAAGGAAGGAAGAGGAAGGAAGGGTGGAAGGAAGGAAAGAAGGAATGAGAAGAAAGGAAGGAAAGAAGGAAAGAGAAGGAAGAAACGAGAAGGAAAGAAGGAATGAGAAGGAAGGAAGAAATGAGAAGGAAGGAAGGAAGGAAGGAAAGAAGGAAGGAAGGGAGGAAGGAAGGGAGGGAGGAAGGAAGGAAGGAAGGAAGGAAGGAAGGAAGGAAGGAAGGGAAGGAAGGAAGGAAGGAAGGAAGGAAGGAAGGAAGGAAGGAAGGAGAAATAAACAGAGAGACAGGAGAAAACAGCAAGTAACTGCATTGAATTATTCTTTAGCTTCAGCCAACTTATTGTTAATTTCTTTACTTTTCTCCTTGTCGTCGGCCGTGGTTCTGCTAGATGTTTCTGTGCCCTTCTTCTTCGATGCCCTGCTGGATGCCACCTGCTTATCTTTGGGCTTTTTCACAGATTTATGGCTTGGGGTCGTCTTTTTTGGCTTAGAAGGCTGAGGACTGGGCTTCTCCACCTGGTTGGAACCAACAAGACCATCAGGGTTGAAGGACATTCACGGCAGACAGAGGGAGGGAAGGTGAGGGAGAATTGAATTGAGAGAGAGAGAGAGAGAGAGAATTGCATGTTAAGAGCCAACGGTGCCCGGAAGGAGACGGGAAATGCCAGGGGTTTATCCAGACACCACTGTGATGTTCCCCCAAAAGAAGACCCTGTCTTATATATACATATATATATTTGCCACCAAAAAATGGCACCAGGTCTTATTTTCGGGGGATGTTGTCCACTGACTAGACTCACTTCCGCGTGTCGCTCCCGGCCTCCTTTTCGTTGTCAGAGGCCTTCCGGAACTCCTTCTTCTTCTGCAGCCGGCAAGTCTTCCTTGAAGGCCTCTGCAGCCAATAACTGAGGTCTGGATCGATCCTGAGCTTTCTGATCAGCTCCAGAGGCCTTCAGGAAAGCCTGGCCAGCCTTGCCGGAGGCAGAAGAAATGGACCGGCAAGGAAGGCATCAGGGTGATCCCAGGCCTAGCTATACCTGTCCAAAGGTAAGTAATAGGGCAGTTCCAATCAACCCTCATCCCCACCCTAGCTTAATTTTTTTACCCCTCCACTCTGGAGTGGGCGGGATCTTAATTAGGGCTTATTTGGGGTGGGTGGGTTAGGGCTTATATTGGGTGCATGTGTAAAAAAATCAAGATAAGTCTTATTTTCAGGCTAGGCCATATTTTCAGGGAAACAGGGTACACCCCCATGGTCAAAAAGGTTGTGGAATGCTTCAGTGTCCAAAAAAGGGGTTTTTTGCAGAACGCAAAAACATTATCTTGCCTGCAACTCTTTGAAAGCAGCTGCATCCTTCGCCCAGGTTCACCCATCCGCCTTCTTGGGCTGCACTAGAAGAAGATGCAGCAACTTTTAAGGAGTTTCAGAGAGCAGTTAATTTTCTCCCAGTGGGCTTGGAAGTGCCTTTCTCAATTTAGAACCAGAATAGCCGTGAAATACTAGAAAATACGCACAGCTCGGGTTTTTCGATTTCGATGTGCGTTTAATTTCTGAACATTTCATTACCGGACACATCAAAAACAGTGCGCTAGCACTGGCAGCCCCAAGAACATCCTCCAAACAGCCCAGCGTGTTCCCTTCTTACTCTCTTGCAAACCCTTTCTCTCCAATAACCACCAGCACCTGCACATGAGTGTGAAAGCAACCTAATGTCATGCTCCTGTCGGAATCTGACTCTGAGGAGGAAGCCGAACAGCTGACAGGAAGTGGGAGTGTGGCTCCATTGGCTGTGGAAGAAACCAGGGAAGGGCAAAGTCTGGCTGGGCAGAGCAGGGAAGAGGTAGAACAGAGGAGGTGGGGTTCAAAGGAAGACCCAGGGCCACCCCTCTTAGGGCACACAGGGAGGAACGGAGAAGGGAACAACATGGGTGGCATGGCTTACGGGGGAGGAAAGGGCCCCGATTCCCTTCATTAGCTGCAGCTGGGAACACAAGTGTATAAAAGAGGAAGCTGCGCACAGCAAGCTGTTGGGAGCAAACGTGACTTTATCTTGTATCGTCGTGGCTTATCTGTGTTCCTTGCGTCTTCCCAACAGTGTGAGTTTTGTCGTGCTTTCCAAGTCTGACATTCCTTCTCTTGCCCTATCAAGCTAATTATTTCAGTTTGGTTTGTTTGGATTTTAGGTTATTGTTTGTGTTTACTTTGTTTTGGACTTGATTCCCTGCAGCCCAAGGCTGTTCCTGGGAGAGTTTTTCTCCACCCCGAAGGTAACCGGGACACTGGGGGCAAAGTTGGAGATAATAAAGGGACTCTTACAGCTTATCTGACTGTGTTGCCTTGGTGCCACGCCCCTTTGGGTCATCCCACCTATGATGTCCTGCAGGTGGTTGAATGTCAGTGATGGTGTCTGCACCCCCACTGCCCATGGCTCTCGTCCTTACCTTTGAAGATTCTTTCTGCGGCTCTTTATAGAGGCTGCGTATCCTTCGGTGCTCCAAGAATTTGTTGTCGTGTGGGCCAGGCTTTGCTCCCTCGGCAGTGAACTGGGTACTGTAGCTTGTCTGGTGATTCATTTTCTCATCTGGAGGCTCATACTGAGACTTGGCTTTGATAGCTCTCACCGGCCTGATGTCCGTCCAGGGTCGAAATTCATTTCTGAGGGAGCAGAAAGGTAGGAGGAGAACCGGAAAATAATAACCGCCCCGACGATACAAGAATAGAATAGGATAGGACAGGATAGGATAGAAAATAGAAGAGAGAAGAGAGAAGAGATAACAGAATAGAATTCTGAATGGAATTCAGAATAGAAAATAGAATAGAAAATAGAGAAGAGAGAATCGGATAGAATAGAACAGAGAATAGAATAGAAAATAGAATAGAATAGAATATAGAATAGAATAAAAAATAGAATAGAAAATAGAATAGAATGAAGAGGGAATAGATTAGAAAATAGAAGAGAAGAGAAGAGAAGAGAAGAGAAGAGAAGAGAAGAGAAGAGAAGAGAATGTAGAGGGAATAGAATAGAAAATAGAATAGAATAGAAAATAGAATAGAATAGAATAGTATATAGAATAAAAAATAGAATAGAAAACAGAATAGAATGAAGAGGGAATAGATTAGAAAATAGAATAGTATAGAATAGTATAGATATAGAATAGAATGTAGAAGGAATAGAATAGAATAGAATAGAATAGAATAGAATAGAATAGAATAGA